AACCGAGACTGACCCCTTATGCAACTTGATGTCAAAAATGCATTCCTTAATGGAGATCTTGAAGAGGATGTATACATGAATTTACCGTCTGGTCTTGAAGGGTCCTTCCCTAGTGGCAAAGTATGCAAGCTCCAGAAATCTCTATATGATCTCAAACAATCTCCCCATGCTTGGTTTGTCTGATTCACCAATTCAGTAATCAAGTGCGGTTATACTCAAAGTCAGGCTGATCATACAATATTCACAAAAAGATCCGAGAAGAAGATTGTTGTACTTATTGTGTATGTTGATGATATCATTCTTATCGGTGATCACACTGAAGAATTGACAAAGTTAAAGAAGTTTCTAGCCCATGAATTCGAAATCAAGGACCTCGGAGACTTGAAGTTCTTCTTGGGAATGGAGGTTGCAAGATCCAAAATGGGGATAGCCGTAACTCAAAGGAAGTACACATTGGACCTATTGAAAGAAACCAGTATGCTTGGATGCAAATCAATAGATACTCCAATAGACCCGTATAAAAAGATTGGAATGGAGAATGATAGTTTACCAATCGACAAAGGACGATATCAGCGGCTTGTTGGAAGACTTATTTACTTATCCCACACCAGACGAGACATAATCTTTTCAGTAAGTATATTAATTCAATTCATGAACTGTCTTTCTGAGGAACATATGGGAGCTGTCAACCGTATCTTGAGATACTTAAAGATGCACCAGGGAAAGAATTATTATTCAAAAGGAATGATAGTCAAAGGGTAGAAGTCTTTACTGATGCTGACTAGGCAGGAAATATATTCACCCGACGATCAACCTCTGGGTATTGCTCTTATGTATGCGGCAATCTAGTGACATGAAGAAGCAAGAAGCAATCGGTGGTATCTCGGAGTAGTGCAGAAGCAAATACAGAGCACTGGCGCTTGGTATCTTTGAAGGAATGTGGATCAAAAGATTTCTCAAGGAACTTGGAATTATGGTAGAAAATTCTATCAAGATGTTCTGTGACAATCAAGCAGCAATCAGTATCGCAAAGAATTATGTTCATCATGACCGAACGAAACACATTGAGATTGATCGGAACTTTATTTCAGAAAAGGTGGACAATGGAATCATTGAATTGGTCTATACCCTTCTAGAGACCAAACCGCAGACATTCTTACCAAGGCTCTCCCTAAGTCAAGTTTTGATGAGCTAACCAACAAGCTAACTGGGCATGTACAATCTGTACAGCCCACTTTGAGGGGGAGTGTGGAATTACGCTCCTTATTATTTACTTTAATTCTATTTAGTACTTGCTATATTTAGTCATAGTATAAAAATGGTAATTCCTTAATTATAGGTATTTATGTTTATTCCGTAATTATAGGAATTACTTAATTGTAGGAAGATTTATTTCCTCTTTCTATTTTTTGTACTCGCCTATTTATAGGTGAATTATCTGTGTATTCATGTGAGAAAAGTATTATTCAAAACTCACATTTATGATACAAGGTATTGATACAATTTACTTTATATGATCATAATGCAGTGCATAGATTATTCTTCCTTCCAAAATTATCATAACCCTAATTTAATTACACCTTAATTTTTTTTTTTTGTGCATTTCTAATTTTTAAAATAAACCAAATTGACATTGTTGTGTGTTCGGCTTGTCCTAGATGTAAAATGTAGTAATAACTTTCCAGCATTGTTAAGTTTGCAAAGTTATTCATTCTCAAAGAAACTGGAATTTATGAAAATATTGTCTGATTATAATTTTGTGAAACACCGAAATTTTTTAACACAGTAAAAAATGCCAAAACTTGAACTGGGGTTTGACACTGAATTTATTTGAAACTGGAACATTCAGGATAAAGCCAAGACTGAAACTGAAATTGATTTTGTAATTTTTATTTATAGTTTTCTATTGCTAACTCATAGCTGTTGTATATTCCTAATGTTAGTAATGGTCTAAAGTGTATTCTTTTTCAAGTCATAAATCAAGTAAAATTTTCTCATTGCCTTAAAAACTGAAATTAGTTGAGATACACATGACGTCATTTATGGCATCATGGATCGTTTTTGTTGAATTTTGATTGATTTGTGTCCATCTCTTATAGGATGGTCAATATTCCTTGGAAGCTTTGCAGCATTTTTGCACCCTTGAAGCACAACTAGCTTTTCTGTTGAGGATCAGCCACAAGTACGACAGGCATGGTGCTAAATTTCTGTTATCTACTGATGCTTTGGAGCATCTTGGGTCATGCAGGGTCATGAACTTGCAAACCAATTTTTTTTTTTTTTTACTTAAGCTGTATTTTTATTGTCATGACATAGCTTTAAAGCTTCCCAGATTGATAATCATATTTATAGGGACTTGCAAGGCATACTGGTATCAGTTTGGGAAGAAATCTCTCTGGTGAGGGTGATAAATATCTGCTTGTGACGCCAATACTGAGACTGGTTTCTAGTTTGACATCGCTTGTGGATTCATCAGAATTTCTTGAGGTTTTTTTTCTTACCAGTTTATGCTTTAGCTTTTGATTTCTGTATCAATATTAATCTTGTTTTTAAGTTATTATTTTGATTGAATAATTGAATTAATGTAGATTATGTACTATTAGCTTATATTATATTGCTCAATAAATTGAACCATTGTTTATATTGACGTAATAAAATATCATTTTATAAACAAATTGTAGCTTTGGATTACTTCGGAGGAGACTTATATTAAGTTTTTTAGTTAGTTTTGTTAGTTTGCAAGCCACCTTCTGCTTGACTTGCTAAATGGCATAGTCACACTGAGGCTTGATCCATCATTGACTCGACTTGTTGGCTGGATGTTTCACTTCAGTTAGTGAAATCAATATAATTGATTTACAAATACTATACAATATAATTTCTTTGATGCAAATGGAATGAAATCTTTGAAAGTACCACCTTTCCCTAGAAGATAGCAATTTAGATCTTAATCTTTTGGTCCAATCATCCAGGAGGCTTTCAAGGACCTGAAGAACTTATGAGGGGCTTGTGTTCCTCATTGGGAAGACTGCAAAGTCAAGTATATTACTTTTCAGGAGTTAATTAAAACAACTTTACTTCATACAAACACCAATGCTGCACCCATGTATCATTGAAGCGACTTAAGCAAACATGCTAAAAAAGAAAGGATCTTCTATTGCGGGATGGATTTGAATTTGTTGCCTTTTCATTGAAAGAAAACTCCAAAGCTGGTACCATAATATACATTTAAATTCCTTGTATGATTGTTATTTACTAAGATTGAGTATTGGAGATTCGATTGTCTTTTAACTTCTTTCTATATTTGTTGGATTTCTTGTTTGAAATATTTTTTATATGACATCCCTTGAACACATAATTAGATGAATTAAAATCAAGTGGAGCTCCGCCACAATCTCTCTTATCTTCTCCACAAGCAAGGTCAAGTAGTATTCACATTGATTGAATAAGTTTGTAATTACTCTACCTTCATCTTCTCATTTTAATCGTAAAAATTGATCTTGTTTGTTTATCATTAACTGATTTCTTATCTTTTCTTTTTTTTCCCTTTTTTTTTCCTCACCATACCAAAATACTTTTGAAATATGGAGTGGCTTTTACAACCTCTTTGTTTGCCCCCCTCAATCTGGACTACGATCCATAATCTACTACCTTGTCACCCTCATTTACTTGAATTTCATTTGTAACATGGAGTAGCGATTCCCCTTTCATCTCGTCTCCTACTTTCTGGCGTTTCTGGCATCTTCTTTCATTGTATTGGTTTCTTGCTCATTGGTACTAGTTTCTTGCTATATCCTTGTAGGAATGTTGAGAAATTAGAAAAAATATGAAAAAAAATGCTTAGTTTTTTATTGTTTCTATTTGTGCAATGTGTGTCGGTTTTTATAAACATGTCTACAAGTTTTAAAAAAGAAAATAAATTAATTTTCTATAAAAAGTGAAGAAATTAAACAAATTACTCGATGCAATATTGGTTATAACCTAGGGGTGAGCATTGGTTTGCTTCATGCGATTAGTGATCAATTTTTTAATTTGACCATTCTTTAGTTTCATAAATTTTTATAAAGTTATAAGATTTGAAGGCATCTTCAAAATAGATTCTTCTGCTTGAGATTTTCATTCAACACGAACATCATTAGGGATTTGATCATTTGAACTCTGTTTTGCTTACAAAATATTACATTTAAAAATTCTATTCATTGACTTTTTTCATATAGAACTTGAAATTTAATTTTAAAATTAGGCATCCCCTGTTGAAATATTTTATTAAGTCATCATCGGAATTTTGCTTGAAATTTAATTTTAAAATTAGGCATCCCCTGTTAAAATATTTTATTAACTAAGTCATCATCAGAATTTTTATCATTTGATTTGAATATTATCAATTTTGTTTTGCTTACGAAGAATCAGGTTCATAATTTATATATATTGATTCAAATATTTGTTAAAATTTAATTTTAAAAACGTGATTTTCTGGTAGAAATATTCCATCAAGTTGGCCCATCTTCGAAGATTTCAATCAATTGATTTGAACATTTCTTACTCTCTTGCTTGCAGAGGATTAATTTCATAATTTATAGAAATTGAATTTATTCAAGTATTTGCTAAAACTTAATTTTAAAAATAAAATCCATTTGTTGAAATATTCTCTTGATTGCCAGTTTTGTCTTGCTTATTGAGGATCAGGATCAAGGATTGTATTGATTGAATTTGATCGTATAGAATTTAAAATTTAATTTAAGAAATGATCTATCTTGTTCCAATATTATCGATCATCATCAGAAATTTTAATCATTTGATTTGAATTTTTTTGTTTTTGTCTATTTTACTCTGGGTGACGTTCATAATTTGAATAAATTGAATTTATTCAAATATTTATAAAATTTAGATTTTAAAAGGTAGGTCCCTCTAGTTGAAATATTTTATTAGCTCGACTATCATCAAGAAAGTTAATCATTTGAATTGCTTGTCGACTCTATTTTAATTGTAAAGTATCAAGTTCAAAATTTATATAAATTTAACTTGTTCAAATATTTGTTAAAATTAAACATCTGTGGTTGAATATTCTATAAACTCGAATATGACTTGAATAACCTAAAATATTCATAGTTGATATTCAAGAGAAATTTGGAATTTGAAAATCAGTAAACATCAATCATGTCAACTCCACTCTTTATGAGGAAGAATATTGTATTGACTTAGCAAAACCTCACTCTTGTCAATTCAGATATTTTTCGTTAGGAGGATTGGACTGGCCAATGCGGGACTTAGTCTTTTTATGGAGAGAATGATTAGGACCGCAATTTGCCTTCCTTAAGGGTCAATTGTGGTGCGAAAGACGCAGACGATTCGATCAAACTAAATTCTATTAAAGAGTTGTTCTGAATTGCAGAATGAGAACCAAGAGTGTGATAAACTAGTTTAATTAAATCGTTGTAAAGATGCATGGTACATTTTATTTCATAATTCATTCATGTTGCACATATACTCGAAAGCGTGAAAATTTTTATCACAAGAACACATATTTATATAGAGCTTTTATATCTAATGTAATAAAAATATAAATCTAAAAGTTTGTCTAAGCTTCCAATATTATAATGTAAAAGCTATAAAAGTCACAAGTGACTTCTCGCTCGGGTGTTCCTTACCCCTTAGCGAAAGTTAACAACGTAGAGTAAGTTACAATAGGCTCTGTAATACAATCAATGTTAAAATAAAATTTTATAAATGAAAAATAAATGTGCATAGTCATATATAACTCAAAATAAAACATGTAAAAAAATTAATGTATTTCTTTTATTCATGTGTAAAACATTTATTTCATTTATTCATAAAACTCGTCTATCTAAGAAAGAAAGTGAATCTCTGAACTAGCACAAAAATGAGATTCCATCTTACCAATTTCGCTCTAGAGATCTAAATCGAAAGCTTCGACTCTTTGTCATGTGCACAGATCACTCTTGCACAATAGCAAGTATGTTGGAGCTCTCCCGTCATGCCAAATTGAAGGATTTGGGGATGGAGAAATGGAGAGAAATCGATATTTAACTTTGATTTCAAGTGATACCATCCGTCTCATCACAGCCGTTGCATATGCAGTTTAGTGTGAAAAATTCCTTTTGGAACAATGTTAGAGGTTACGAAAAGAGATTATGATTAATTATAGGTAATTATAATATAACTTCATATTCTTATATTTTCTCTTGTGTTTTAAATTCATGCATTGCTTTATATACAAATTGATAGAATTCCCAACTATACAAAATTTTGAGGCGTACCTTGAATATTTAAGAAATGTGTTACAAAACTGGCCAAAATGAACACTCAATTTGTGAACTCTAGTCCATGTGAGGAGGGTCGGAATGGCCAAAATGGAAGCTCAGTCTTATCAACTTCAATTTCTATGATAAGAAGAATCATATTGGATATGATAAGACTTAACTCTGCTCTATAAACAAAGCGGCCCTCTTTAGAGTGTGCATAACTTAATGATTTTTAATTCAATTTTTTAATGCAAAGATTTTCACAAAATTTAAATAATTTACAGATGTCTTATGATAGAACACATTTTAGTATATACATATATGCAACCAACGAATTATTTTCAAATCAAATATTTGAACATTTTTTAATTTTCAATTATTCACTTTCTATCCACTCGTTTGAATGTTACGTTTACTGTGACAATAGGAAATGAAATATTTGTTGTTCATTTTTATTATTTTCACTTGACCTCTAATTTATGTACTCTTTGATGCTCGACAAAGTCACACTTATACTCAAGTGTGCAGTCAATTTTATTAAAAATTTGTTATATGTTTTTTTTTTTTTGTCAGAAGCTGGGATTTCAACTTCATTGCAAATTCTGTATATTTGTCCCCAACTCATTAAGAAAGACTTGTAATATAATACTAGTTTTCAATTGAAGGTTCGATTTAAACTCGTTAAGTAGCTAATGAGTTTAATACATGTTTCAGTTGAGCTCATCAATGAGCTATCAAGTCTCTCATTATCCAGTCATGTGTTCATTTGTTATTTTCATGTACAAATCCTTTCAATTCAAAATTTGGCAACATTCCAACATCACCTACCTTAGTCTGAAACTATTTAGGCCATAATGGGACTTCACCCAAACTGCCTAAAGAATGCATGCTCTTGTTGACACGGGCTTTTTGCTCCAAAAGTTGAACCGGTTTAATCCGAACTAGTTCAGCCCCCTCCCCTCTTTTGATTAGGCGGGAGACTTCCCTCCTTATTTTTGTTTCTCGTCTGTCCCATATCTATTTATATGTGTTTTTAGATCCTAGGGTTTCAGTTTCCCCTTAAGGGTTGTATCTGACAGTTTGGGAAGTGCTCCAACTGAATCTATCTTTCCGGTGGTGATTTATCTTTCTGAAGATCCACCTCCTTCCCCCATCCTTGTCGCCTGTAGATGTCCTGCAGCTTCCCTATCCCAGCCGCCCTTGTCTTTGCAGCCATCCATAACC